CTTAATAAAGTGAAGCCGCACTTTTGACCTGGGGGCATTTTAAAGGGGTTCCGCGACGCTCCCAACCAGTTCACAACAGAAACACATGAACCCTGGCTGTAGGCGTGACCACCTGTGTATTTTTCCTGGATGACGCAATCACGTTAAGTGTTACAGCCAATCACCGAAACTTGGTACCGAAAGACGAGGCATGTTTCGATACTCTGTAGAACCGAAGCATTTCGGTCGGTACCATAAAAGAACCGAAGTTCGGTACCCAGCCCTAACTGTACCCTTCTTTGTGTCTATTTTATTTGTCTTGTTCACTTTTAGTTGTTTTGGGAACAGATGATCCAGGAGAGGAAGTTGAGGTTTTCAGTAAAAGAAACACTTTCTAAACACCAAATAACTTGTTCTCCTGGCTAGAAGCAGCGGTCTGTCCGAGACATGCAATCAACAAAAGATGTTTACATTCAGAGGCCCACATTTCCATGTTACTATTGATCAGGAATGGATTCTGCATAATTTCAAAATTTACTCCGATCTAAACCAAAAGATCAGGAATCATGATGAGGGGTTGAATTTCTGAGGGGCTCAACTTGCTACAATTTCTGTGGTCTTTTCTAGCTGACAACGGCCTGAATCCCACCTGGCCCAGGAAGTCTTTCCACTTCACAGTCTGCAACTCTGCCTTTGCTTTCCTGCGTTTTGGGGTTTATGAGATCGACATGTTCAATGACCAAAACTTTCTTGCTCAGGCTACATTCCCCATTCAAGGGCTCAAGACAGGTATGCGTTTCATAGTTCTTCCTGGAGAAAAAAAAAAAAATCAAATGTTGGATGGATGCAGGTGACTAAGTTTGTGTGTTTGTGTGGCCTCAGGCTACAGGTCGGTACCGCTGAAGAACAGCTACAACGAAGACCTGGAGCTGGCTTCTCTGTTGGTCCACATGGATATCACCAGAGGCAGGGTGGGTTGTTCTTTCAATCTGAGCTGCTTATAAAAGCTATTCAGCAACAAGTTCAACTGGCATCAGCAAAAGGTTGTACTTAAGATTAGAAAAGACATTAAACACTAGAACTCCCAGAATTCTGATCTTACCAGAACTCCCACTGGCCGTCAATTTGACAGATGGCATTTTTTCCGCAGTGTAATGCAAGAGCAGTGATGATGTCATCGACTGAAATGGTCTTGGTGTGCGATATAAACCCATTATAGATATGTAAACCTTAAAACAGGTCTAATATATATATATTTAAAGGCTGTATTATATGCTATTATTATTTGTTGTCTAAATTTGTGTTAAAAATCAATCAGAAAATTCAAGACTGTTTTAGTATGTAGGTTCGAAGTTCCAAATTACAATTTTATTTACAGAAATTGATTGGCTGTGACAATAAATGGAATGATTGTTTACACTTGTGAACAAAAAATATTTTTAAAATAATAACATATTACAAATCAAAATATTTATATGCTGTTTTTTATGAACCCTTCCTTCTCATACCTAATTTTTCAGCGCAAATTTTGAAATTCGGATGCGTTAAGTGATGCGCAGGAAACACATCATGGTTTGCAAATGGTTTTGAGATATTGTTGAAGAAGTTAACGCCCCACTCATCAGATCAAAAGCTGGATAGCTCCATATTTCTCCCCCCATATGCTTTCTGAACATAAATCAAGTCAATAAATGCCACAAGGTCGTTTCTGTTTGTGTCCCATGAATCATCCTCCAAAATTCTGCAGTCCCATATGTGAGCCAACGTATCCGGGCCACTAAATGGAAAGGAATGCTGGATGTTGAGCTTCACATATTCAATGGGTCCCTCGCAGTGTTGCTTTTAACAGCAATCTTAGATTTTGTCTTCAGGACTAAAACTATTATTACTTTTAGTCACATTTTAGTCAATGCGATATCTTGTAGTTTTAGTCAGTTTTAATCGACTAAAATTTAAGGGTTAAGTCTGGTTTCAGTCAGTTTTATGTTGCAAAAAAAAAGTTACCGTTTACAAATCTGAATAACAACCAGAGTATTTACCAGACTGACAGACCTGCCTAGATACTACAATAGCTGGGTATAGAATGCTGCACTGCAGTTCATCATTGCTGTTGGGAAAAAAACTTAGATTTATAGAATTCAAATAACGTTTTCTGTGAATGAATGCCCTGCTTTATAAAAAAGTTTCTCACAAAAGCTGTGAAAATAGCAGATCTAGTTCAACACATCATATTGGTTAATATAGCAGATAGGCAAGCTAACATAAGTAGAATAAAGGAAGAGGTTTAGACATACAAGGTTTCATCCCAAAGCAAATACTTCCAGATCTACTAAGAATTATGCATTACACACTGATCAATAAAATCTTCATTGCTCCAAAAAAAGCATAGAACCAAAAACAATCTTCTTTGGCAATTTTGGCTTTATTTCTAAGAATTTAGCCCTTGTTACCGCTGCTCAGGGGTGAAAGTAGATTTAAATTCATAGGAGTTTGATTTAAAAAAAGATACACAGAGAACCTTCGTTATTACCTTATAATGCCATGGCATTCTTTACCTAAATTTCAATATGTTAACTAAAATGTTGAAATACTCAACATAGATGGAAATGATGACAGAGAAATATTCAAAGATCCATATTCCCTTTCATTTGGGTATTTATAAAAAAAATAAATCGTATGCAATGAAATATTTTCTCTGGATATAATTTGGGGATTCCTTTTGGTAGAAATTAAAGAATGTTTAGCATCACCTCTCGTGACCTGGAAGAAATAAAATCTTTATAGTTAGAGAAGGACTTTTTAAGCGTGGCACAGGATGATCAGCCACATATAGTTTATTAAATGTATTGTGGAGGATTTTCTCGAAGACCCGCCCTCTCCACTTTAAAAACAAATTAGTGTGCGAGAGCATGCACAAACCCATTTCTACTCGTGCACACTGTGTTTAAAATTTGCTGTTCTCATAGCTCAGACAAGCTCACTATGCCCGAACGTGCACTCTAACCCCTAAATCACTCAATCACTATTTAGAGGGGGGACTATATAGTGAACTCAGTCAACTTACTGTTCGGACAGTTAATCACTTCCTCAGCCTATGGTGACAGCGGGCCGCGGTGACAGAAATCCCATAATGCTTTGCGAGGAGAGCTCTCCGCACAAAGCATTCTGGGATATATCTGCATCTTCTGAGGCCTTTCTTTTCTTCTCATGCACTTCGTAGACACTTTTTCTCTTACGACCCTCTGCCATTAAACACCGGTGAAAAAGATGAGCTTCATTGACTGTCTGAAACCGTAGCTCACCACACATATACACCTGAAAGTGCTCATGCGCAGAAAAAGATGGCTAACAGGGCGCGCATGTACGACGGCCATACGTAGACATATCACCAGAATGATTGACAATTAGGAGGACCACTTATTAGATCCACCTGAAATTAAAATATTGTCCTCTATACCTTTAAGTAGCGAGGGCAGGAAGAGTCATACTGCTGAGAGCGAACCATCAGAGCTAAGCTGCGTGTTTCTTCACAAGCACCGCTGGAAGATCAGAGTACAGAATCATTCTGGCTTATAAGCCTTGTCTGATGAATCACTGATACAGCTGCGTTTCGCGGGGGATCATCCTCAGACATGCTGTCAGACTCTGGGCTGCTTCTTATTGACGGCACGAACGTCAATCAACCTTGGGAAGAATTTGCAATGCAACTAATAGAGCCGTCAAAATGAAGGCTGTGGGAGATCAAGGTAAAATTAAGCATATTTAATTTTTAGGTTTTATTTTTATTTTAAAAACCAAGTGAAAACGAAGGAAATATAGAAATGGGATAAGTCAGTTAACATTACCAACATGAGATTAATGTAAATTATGTTCTTTCACTTCAAAATCTGGTCAAAAGGACTGCCCTGGGAGTTCTAGTTTAAGCCACACGGGTATTTTATTTTCTCAGCTGTATTCTAAGATGGCCAAAAACTGACTACAGATTCACAACTCTGGGGTATCGGTTCCCTTATCTATGAAGAAGTGGTCCTCGTCTTTTTCACACTGCATATATGGCTATCATTTCCAGAGCAGTATCTGGTGCCGTGTGTTCACACCAGCATTAGATTTGAAGACTTGTTGATGGCCAAAGTGCAACAAGCTCATCTTTTCATTTTCACATGCTAGTTATCCACTTATATGGAAAACTTTTCTCATAGATGGATAAATAGAACCGACTATTGGTTTGGTTCTAAAGTTTGACACATACATTTTACATTTCAGGGTAAAAAATCCCTTCTGTACTTTTAAATAAATTCCTCTCATCCCAGGTTTTTTATTTGGTATTAAATAATCGGTCAAATGTGTGGATGATCTGTTAAAAATGAGATACTGGCATCGATGTACAACTGATTGGATTTGTTTGCATTTCTTTAGCTTTAGGCAAACAGTAAAGTTAATACTGTGAAGTGAACTTTATCTTAGCGATCTCAGCCCACTGTCAGCTATGTGACACCGATGAAAAATGTCCAAATCGACCCCAATCTGTGGAGCTAATAGTAGTAACAATACTTCAGTGTTAGTTAGCGCTATAACTTTGCACAATATTTACATTTTCTGAGACACTAAATTTGGGTTTTTATTATCTCCAAACCATAATTGCTGAAATCAGAGAAAAAAACTGCTTGTGATGTTAAACTGTATATTTCATATTAGTTCATCCTAAAATAAACAACAAACATTTTCTAATTTAAAAAAGGAAACTTTGAGTCTCCACTTTGAAACGCCTTCCCTGTTATGGGAGCAGTAAAATCAGACCCAGCTGAGGGTCTCCAGGAAGGCGTCTTGGCCTTTTTGTTTTTTAAGTCTTCAAACTGCAACCAAAAGCAGCAATTTGACTTCGATCTGAATGGATCTGGTTTTATGCCATCTGTAAAAACAAAAGTTGCAGCATCATTAACATTTTCGCACACGTTTAAATTTGCAGATAGAAATATGTCAAATGTTGTAGTTGGTCTAGGATAGACATTTCTACCTTTTCTGAGGTGTACATTAGAGGGCAGAGGAGATTATCCCTCCTTGTTTTTTTTTTGTCTTCCTTCCAGGAGGAAAACGGGGAAGTCTTGAGTCCCTTCTCTGCAGCAGGAACCACGGCGGTACCGGCGTCAGCCCAAGTGGGACGGGAGCGTTTTGGGGAGCTGGGCTCTGTGTCCTCAACATCCTCCTTGTCCCCGCTGCCCCAGTCGCCTGCCCAGGCCATGTCTTACGGCGGGAGGGAGGGCTCCTTTGAATCTCGCTACCAGTCCCCCATAGATGATTTCAGGGTGTCCCAGGAGGCCCTGTTGGACCAAATGGACCCTCAGAACCGAAGGTGAGCGAGCGGCCCAGCTGCTTCCAGTAGGACAGTGAGGAGCTGGACATCATCCTCTCTGTGTCTTTCCTCTAGGGCGCTGAGGAGGACCAGTCACCTCTCCCCGTACTGATGATGTCACTGACTGCTGTGATTGCTGTTTCCATGGAAACGCCCACCACCGCTTTGGCCTACATTTCAGGCAGCTCTCCCTCCTTCAATTCCCCTTAGATCCCCCCCCTCCCTCCTCCGCCCAATATGGCCTCTGTGCCCAACTGAGGAAGAAGGGAAGGACGCTGCTGGAAGGGGAGGGGGGGTGCTGACAGGAAACTGACGGCTGCGGACAGGAAGCAGAAACGGTATAAAGAACGTTCTGGTCCTGGACTGTAATCTCTGTTTGTCAAGCTCAAGAGCTGCTTCGTTTGGAGACCAAGTGCAAGAAAAGAGAGAGAGCGCCGGAACGGTTCTGGTTCCTCTTCTCCTCGCTGTCTATGGTTTATATATTTATTCCTGCTGTGCTGTTGGCCAGAGAACAGCATCCGCAGACCTGCTCTCAAAGAGCCGCCGTCTCCCATGTTTTTAAATGTTCCAATTATTTAAACGTTCATGTGACTTTACGTTAGCGTGAATCACGAGGGCTTATACGGCTACTTTTAACGTCTCTGCTTCGTGAAGGACATTACGTGCCTCCGCTCTAACGCTTACTTACAATCTGGACTAATATCACTGAGCTGTTCTTTTCTTTTATTATTGTGTAAGGTGTGAGGAAGAGGTCATAGCTGGTTTTTGTGTTCTAAGGACCACCATGTTTCTCGATGACATTCCAGAAATTCAAAAACTGCACATCATTCCATGGTCCTGCTTCACTAAGCAGTCAGACATGCGTCTGTCTGTCTGTCTGTCTGTCACAGCCTTCGCTGATCCGTCAGGCTCGGACACATGTTGGGCCTGGAAGATGGTTGCTCTTTGTTTTGTATCACGTAGAGATTTTGTTTGCCTCCACAGACCATGTTGTTGTCTTCTAACACACCCATGTTAAAATGACAGCTCTTTTTTCTTGCTTTAAAGGAATTATAAATCTTTTTCAGAACATGTTTCACCTTCATTTTCATGTAAAGAAAAAAAGAACAAATCTGTAAGAATGGAGAACAGTGGAACAAGCTGATTTTCATTTTCGTTAAGGAGCAACTTTTTTTTTTATGGGTGAAATCCTGTTTTTTGTTTCCTGCCTTTAATTTTTTACTTAAATCATCTTCTGGTTTCTAACAGATATCCATTGTTTTCAAATCCTCCAGTTCCATCCAAAGAAAAGCAACCCATGACCATAATGCTGCCACCACCATGTTTCACTGTGGTGCTCTTTTAGAGAAGCTGTTTTTTTTGTTCCAGTTTTGACTTTAAAAACACTTTTATCCACACATACAGAAGAAAACAGGAGATTTTTGTTACACATTAGAACAGAACATTCCAGAAATTACTTTAGTGTTGCTGTGTCTCACCATCCCACTGACCGGTTCACTGAGCAAAATTTAAGATCCTCATGATTTTGAATTTAAGGACTTGCTTAGACTTGTATAAAAATAAAAAAACTGGATGTCAGTGAGTAAAGTATACTTTAGAGGAAATCAGAACATTTTGAAATTCCGAATCTAGGAAGGATTGCATAAAATCTGAACAGCTAATAATCAGGTAATGAAATGTAGGATATACAGTACATCCAATTTTTCCATTGAGGATAATTACATTTAAATAACACATTGATTTCTGAGATTTTTAAGTGTAAGAAACCTTAAGGCCCTGTAGGAATCGTAATGATTTAGCTTCATCTCAGATTGATGTCAAGTTTAAGATCCAGCTGCTGAATCAAAGTATAACATTCGACTTGCACAGCGTGCGTCATATTAAAGTAGTCATAGTATATATTTTATTAAAAATCAAAGCTTGTATTTTAACAGGTGTGTGAACCAGGGATTCAGGACCGTGTCCATGGTGATCATCCTTCTTCTTACTAATATTATGCTGCAGCATCAGCTATTCATCCCAGTGTTCCAGTTTCACAATGAATCGAATGTGTTTCAGCGACGCTCACATGGATCTAAGGTTCTGAGCGTAAGGCATTGATTTTTGAAGATCAGCAGTGACCAAATAGTGAATTAATGCACTGCCAAACAGAGGCCACATGAACTAGACCAATGGTTCCGGTGTGGTGAAGGCCCTGACGGTCCGTCCGTCCAGCGCTGACGCTACAGGGACGGGGGGAGTCTGTGCTTAGCAGACGGTATCAGTGGAGGCAGAGCAGAGGTGTCCGTACAGGTTTGATTTTAAAACCATTTATTCAGAATCTGTGTTTGAGACACATTTAAGCCATAAAGGATGATTTAAGGTGAAGGTTGGCTCGTTACTGCAGGGCTGGGGCATTTGCACTCTGATATTAATCCCAAAGCTCCTTCCCATTGCATGTACTCCTCCAGACTGTGTTTACTGATCGGTTGGTGGAGTCCTCTCTCTCTAGCTTTGCTTTTATTTTCTGGTCTGTCTGCACACATCACATTAAAGCCACATCTCCCACAGCCATGATCACGTCAGTGACGGATTGCTCCTCAGCACCTTGTGAACACGTGCAGAACGTGTCCCAGACTGAACTGTCTGATAGTGTTGTACAAATATTCCCTATACTGAGGTCAAATCAAGCAGGTTAACTTAGGACACCTGTCAGGGGTCTTTATCTGTAATTTGTTTTGCTTATTCTTTGTTTTTGTTTTTTGCAAGTGACGGCCTCATTTACATTTGCCTTCCTGTAATGTGCCTAAACTACGAAGAGAAGTATTAATTTTAATTTTTTTGCCTTTTCATATGAAACATATTCAAGCCTGAAAAGTAAATAAAATACTCACTGCTTTATACATCCTTACTGCTCTGATTTTATCAAATGTTCAGTAAGTTTTTTATTTTTTAAACCTGATACTGCAGCATGGGAAAAGCATGATGTGGACAGCAGACAAACGAAACATTAGTCAAGTGTGAAACCAAAAGAAGGGACCTGAAATCTGCCCAAAATATTCAATCTTTAAGAAAAAAAAAAAAAAAAAAAGGTCAAATCGGAGGGGAAAAAAACTGGAAAGATCCGTTTTTTCTCCACAGGCTGACTGGGTTTTGAGACTCATACATTTGAATTGCTTAAGATTTATTTTTTGACATTCTTATGCACTATTTGGGTTTATCACATACAGGCAGAGGTTACTATTATTTTACAGGGGTTCTGTATGTTTTATAAAAAAGTATCTAACAGTTTCCAGTGAATCAAACAGGCCTGAATTCATTCTGTTTATTCTCCAAATGAATCTGTAAAAATTGTACATCAAGCATTAGTATGCAACTCTCGTGAAAGTTGTTCTTTTACAGGTACATTTATTCCTAAGAAAGTTCCATAAAAACAAAGACAGAGAAGAACTTGATGCTACAAGAAGGTCCATAGTCCACACAGTCTTTTCTCGTTCCTTCAGACATCAAAAGGCGCCTGCCTTTAGATCAAAGACGAGTCTAAGTGTCTTCCAGAACAAAGTCTTGTCCAAACTAGGCAAAAAAAAAATGCATTTAGGAGTCACAAAAAGCGCTGAGAGAGCCAGGTTTGGACGTTTAAGTGAGCAGAAGACGTGTTGAAAATAAGAAAAAGTCATCTAAGGCCTCGGCAGGCACCCCGCAGCGACGGCTGATGACCAACCTCCCAACACGCCTCAGCGTTCAGCCAAGCGTCAGATTTCCACGTGACCAGGCCTCAGTCCAGTCCCAGAACACGGGGCTCATGGGAAGTTCCTTGGGAGGGAATGAGTCGCTGTAATGGCACGAGGAGGGACTGGAGCGGTCAGCTCTTGTAGTGGGGGAGGGGAGGACGGGTGAGGATGGATCGGAGATCGATTTCAAAGCAGTGATCCTGTTACAAAACCATCTGCTGGCTTTTACTCAGGGCCCCAGAACAAAGACCACCCGCCCTGCTGACCCCATCCTCACACAGAGGCTTCTTCAGTTCCTGCAGGCAAAAAAAAAAAAAAAAAAAATGATTTGTGTGAATATAAAGCTAATCATTTGGACCAGACAGGCATTGGTTGAACCAAATATCTGTCTCAGCATGCCTCAGTCATCATCATGATACAGGTGTGCTTGAGGGTTCCACCCTAACACGTCTGTGTCACCTGATAATTACATACAGGAGCATTGATGCAGCTCTTCCTGCCTTACATAATTGGCATCCTCAAGTTGATTTTATTTCCCCCAGTGGCATTTAAATCTTAAAAGGCATATTGCTGGTAAAAGGCCAGGTTTCACTGAACATCAGAGACCTTTAAGTAAAACAAAGATGGACTCCAGGATTACCTGCTGCAGCAGAGCTTTCAGTGTTTGCCTCCTCTGATTCTGTTGCAGCGCCGCACACAGACTGCTCCATTTTCTCCTCAGTCCCGCCTCCAGGCTGCGGCTCCAGAGGGGAGGATCCTGCAGATGGCGGCTCTGGGCCCGTCCCCGTCCTGTCGACAGCGGCTCGTTTTCCGTCGGGGATCACCATTCTGGTGGAGAACCAGTGCCGCACCAAGTCACTGGTCAGACCGGTCTTCTCGGCCAGTTCCTTTAACTGGAACAGAACAGATCATGGTTTTAATGAGAGATTACTGGGGAATGTTACCTTCATTTAAAAACAAATTCCATTTCTGCTTTTAAATTTTAAATTAACATCTAATGTGGGGGTGGCAGCCTAGTGCTTAGAGCATTGCACTTGGAATCCAGAGGTTCTGAGTTCAAGCTCCACTCCCACAGACTGCCACTCCGGGTCCCTGAGCAAAGACCTTTAACCCCACGCTGCTCCACAGGTGCCGCATAATGGCAGCCCACTGCTCCCCAAGGGGATGGGTTAAATGCAGAGAGTTTGTTTCGTTGTACATTGTGTAATGATGTAAAATAAAATGGGAGGTGGAAAATGTGCAAAATAGATAAAAAGACATTGATGTTCTACACATTGATATTCTAAGAAAATTTTTATTTTAATTTGCAGCTCTAATCAAGATGGTCAGATTCATACAGTTAGTGTCAGGTGCTAATGTTTTCTTTATTTTTTATTTTTTTTGCTACTTTGATTTAAAAAGACCATTTCTTTTATAATATTGACTATCAAAAAAAAATGTTAGTCTGAACAAATAAATATAAAATAATGTATTTCCTGGTAGTCTGCATCTCCAGAGTCGGAGAAAAGAGCAGCTAGATGATTTTTTTTACCCCCTATTCGGCCTTTTCAACAGGAGTAAATGTATTCAGTTTTTTCAATGAACAAAAGACTCTTTAGGGATAAAGCTGCAGCAGATGAAAGGAGGAGAATCCAAGAACTGAGTTCTGTCCCTTTCAAGGAGCTTCCAGGGAATTCCTGGACTGACAGAGCAGCAGGAGTCATATCTGCACTAAATATTTACTTTGAGTTTAACTCTCTTTGAATGATCTTGGTAATGCTATCAGTGTTAGTGTCATGATAAGATAAATACAGATAACGACATGATCACAAAACAAAAAAAAAATTTTGATCACAGTTTTGTTATTTTAGAGGTAAACAGAAGCAGAGGATATAATCCTGGTCAATTTAGAAAATGTTTTCCTGTACTACATACACCAAATATTTAACCTCCTGAATTATCTGCTTTAAGTGAAGAACAAGTGTAACAAGGTGAAAACAGCCGGTCGATTAGCTGAGCTATCTGCACTGGTCGCTCGCCTGCAGCTGGATGCCTAACAGTTAAAAAAATAAAACGGTTACATTATCAAAAGACAGTGATAAGAAATATATTCCAACAGCTCCTTTGTTCAGTAAACTTATTAATTGTAGAAAACTATCCAAAGAACATTTATCTCCTAAAAAGTCAGACTTTGCATTTTCAGCTGTGGATTACAGATTTACTCTGTAACCCATCAAATGAACATTTGATCCTGATCACTGCAGGCGGAGGCCGATCACTGTGACAGTACCTGCGAGTCTCCCAGCATGCCGTGGGTTTCCAGATGATCCTGAAGGATCTTGGCGTTCTCCTTCTTTAGCTCCTTCTCCAGGGCCATGTTCTGGTATTCCTCCAACCATTTCAGCTGCCCGTTCTTCTGCACATAGCGGGAGTCTCCAAACCACCTGACGACCTCTGGCCTGGGCAGCCCTGTCCCTGAAATCAGCTCATCGTACTGAGAGGCGCTGGGCCACTGGGTTCGAGCGTAGACCTGTTTGAGTTGGTGAAGCTGCTCCGCCGTCTTCTTTCCTCGGACGGTCGTGGGTTTAGGGGACTGGGAGTTTTTTGGTGTCAGAGTAGAGGGTTGAGCTGGTTTTGTGGTGGAGGAGGTGGGGCCCTGAGAGGAGGTGGGTGTGCTGCCAGGCTGCGACTGTAAGGCTGGATTATTTACTCCTTCCCCCTCCATTTTACCACTAGCCTCGGTCACCTTCAGCATCTTCAGATTGATTTTAATGGGGTTAACCTTGGGTTCCCCTGAACCATCATCCTTCTGCCTCTCTTCTCCATCAACCTCCATCTCCTCCTCATCCTCTTTAGGTACCCGCTCTGCCTCCTCCTTCTTCTTCTCAGCAGCGACTCTCTTCCTCTTCTCAGCAAACCAGCCGTGTATCTCCCTCCGAGTCATCTTGGTCTCAGAGCGCAGCCTGTCCACTTCCTCTCCTGACGGCTCAGCGTTCTGGGCAAAACTGGCCTCCAGGGCTATAACCTAAATGGAACGCATGCAAAGAAGAGATGAAAAACATTTTACAGATCATAAAAATGCAAACCAGTGTTTCCATGTATGAGTTTAGGAACCTTTTCCATAATTTCCTGTTTTTCACAGGTTAAAAGGATTTGTTGGCCAATCAAACCCAGCGACGCCGCCGCCATTAAAGCAGAAGCTTTGGAAATTAGGGCAGGCACCAAGTCCTGCAGGAGAATTCAATCAGCATCTCCATTAGGCTCTTCACTAAACAGAAGCATGGTGAGCACAGAAATATCCTGACAGATGGGTGTTCTGACTTCAGACCTAAATCATGAGTGATTGTGGCAACTTCACAGCAGACCATGTCTTTTGTTAAAGGTTGGTCCGTCACAAATATTGCAGGAGATCATCAGACCTGGTTCTGATGGGTTTGAAAGCCCAGATTCCAGCTAAGGTGCACAGCATGTATGAACAGCAGAGTTTCATTTGGTGTAATTCTCTTTCTGAAACCGAGGACTGCATGTGACAACCCCTGCTCCACTTGGACAGAACCGACGAGGTCGGGACGAATGGAACTAAACTACCATAGAAGTCATGAGTGCTGCATTTCTGTTTGTTTGTTTTTATTACAACTGTAACATCACTGCGAGTGTTTTGATTCAGTGTCCTGCAGGCTGAACAGCGAGCTCTGCTTTCCAACCGCCACAGCAGAGCTGCTCGGCAAAAAACAGCAACTAAGGTATGACGATAACTTTAACTGCAGGAGCTCGCCAAGTCCAAAAAAGGCATTTCTCCTTTAGTTGGTTCGGATCGAGGCTTGTTTGTTTTCACACAAGAAAGCAAACAAAACCAGACTTAGTTGTTTGGTCCAGACCAGGGTTCTGATGGATCGTCACCTGTACAGACCAAATTGTCTGTTTAGGGTGGACTTAACCTGGCGGATGTGAATACGACCTTAAAATGCTTAAAAATTACCTAAAGGCTGAGGTTATTCCTTTTGCTTTTCCCCCCATTTTCCATAATTTTTTACTCAACTTTCCAGTTAACAAGCTGGGATACAAGCTTCTTACTCACTGTTAAGGCATCAGTGGCTGTTTGCAAGACAACTTTCAAGTCAGCAGTCTTCCTTAAGAAATACTTCTGCATCAAAAGTACTCCAATATAGGCATTGGCCTCCTAAATTCCTTTT